TACCATAAGGATGGAAAAGTTTGCTGGCCCGGGCGAGAGCCGATCCAGATCTGATCGAAAACGTGGTGAGCGAGCTGTTGTGTCACACACCACCTCCGCTCGTTCACCTAGATTTATTACCTATCAAAAGTTATTGCTTAGAATATTACATTCTTACATAGCCATATTACCTGTCGTTAGACGCTACTTATTATATAATGTATTTTAAAGCAATATTCCTCCGTGATGCCGAAGCCAAAGAATCACACAGGTCATTAACCGAGATGAATCTTTATTCTCAGGGAATATCTTCGCGTTTTCCAAGGGACTAATGTAAAGCCCTTTACAGCTGAGAGAGCTGAAGAGTACCTACAGGAAAACATTCCGTACCGGACGAACACCTTGTTTTAGTAGGGGTGGCCTGTACAGTGACCTACGGAGCCAACAGATGTACAAGCCAGTGCTTCTTCCTTGTAGGCGGGTCCTCTACAAATGTAGCTGTCCCATAGAGGCGAAAAACTTGGCTGACGTGGGTGGAGGCCTATCTAGGATTACAGTCCCGACACGGTAAGCGGGGTGATCAAGGTTTACTTTACCTTATATTCGTGGGAAGAAAGTCTTAGATACATTTTTAAGTTTCGAAAACGGTATTTTGCAACGATAGAAGACTCTCACCTTTCTTTGTTTCAGGCACTTTCATGGTGACCATCATAGATGAACCAATAAGATCACCTGTAATATTTCTCAGTATCTTCCTGGACAAAAGGCTAGAGCCGGACAAAAGGAGAATTGAATGGAAAGAAATGAAATGAAATGAAAGGATGTGAGATTTAATATTGGGTGCACTCTGGTTGAAACTAGTCACCGTTCCTTCCGTGGGAGAAATCATGGGAAGAACCCGTGTTTTACACAAATATGGCACGAGTGAAACGACGACGAACACTTCGCTTTAGAGTGGAGAGAGGTTGTGAGTGCAACTCATGCAATTGAAGTTCGTATGTCAGCTTGAACTCACTTTTAGTATCCTTCTGAGGTCGTGGACTGTCTGGCGGGACAGTCGGGGGCGCCAGATGACTGTGTCGAACGGTCAAATCCGCCTGAAATTCACCGCAGTAAGGCACATTTTATACTGACCGTATGTTAAACGTTTAGTTGCATTGGCAGTTGCGCTGGGGTAAGCTGGTCATCCGTTGTAGTTTGATTGTTTACAGTTGCACTCTTGACATTGTATTAGGAATTGTATTACAGACTCTAACCAAATTGCCGTTGACGGGCAGGTCAACCTGGTTTGTATTTCGAGCAACTTAGTTGTTAGGAATTGTAATACCATGTATACTTGATTTCATTTAAGGTCTGACGAAGCTGTTAAGACAGCGAAAGCTCACCAATAAAGGTGTTTTGTGAACGAGTTCTCATTATCAATTTTCCGAAGAAGATCATACTGACCGTATGTGTTTAGCTAATTTGACCGCGGCACTCTTCTCTATGGTAGGCCGCTATTTCCACTAGCAAAAATGGCAAAGAGGAGGGGAACATGTGAGAGTAATGCAGGGGTTTGATTAGGGAATAAAATCAGTTACCCGTGGACTTTGACTGGGACCTAGATGCGCCACTAGAAAGTGTCTCTTTGGTTTCATAAAGATGTGCAGGGAACTGGCAGTCTATCTCCTGCAAAGCGAGTGTGTCAGCCCTGTGCGAAGGGCAGACTTACAAAGCAGTGCTTGGTGAACTGTGTTCGAGAGCGCGTCTAGGCCAGGATCTCAGCCGAATGGGGGTTGTATATGAGTGGAAGGGTCGTGTTTGCCTTTGGAAAAAGGTTTTCTGTTGATGCCTTTCCTCTAGTTGTCCCATTTCTGTGTGTTACCCTCCTAATCTCTCTACCCCCCCCCATTCAAAGGCAGTTCCGAAAAAAAACGAGAAAGCAGTTTGTCGCGAGAATTTTCCCTCCAACGGCAGGACGTGCCCTGGCTCACGCACCCGCATCGCGTTTCAGCCAACTTTGACCGCTAAGAACTTGCTCTGAGATTCACGTACGCTTTCATTTCAGCACTCGCCACCACCTTTCGGGGCTCTATTAAACTTCTTGGGTATCTATCCAAACATCCCTGGGAATCAGAAATAATTTTCTCTAAGTAGCCACGCCCCACAAAGGTCATGTAATGCGCTTCCTATCACTTCCTAAACATTGCCCTGTGTTCGCCATTTAGATTTCCGCAATTCTGAGAACGTCCAAACGGCAATCTTCGGAGAAAAAGTGGGCAAGAGGGTAATGTCAATCAGGAAAATAACGAGCTCACTTCTTTCGAGTCTTGACGGAAAGCCATTTGTCGGACTAAACTCGGTCTGCGCACTCCCAACATGACATCTTTTTTCACTTATTCGGGAATTATCTGAAAGAAAAGTTGAAAGAGATATGATATAATACCATGATAACGTAACAGATTCCGCACGCTGAAGTTTGAAAAAGAAAATTCGCGAAAATGTCCAATGAAAACTTGAGTACTCGTTTTCGAAGTAGGTTGCTGAGAATAATTAAGAAATTGGCTTGAAGGCAGATGACACAATGAATCTCTAGAACGAGTAGGCTTAGTACGCCTCACAGGACGGAATCCGCGCCAGGTGCTGCGTAGTGCCTTTTCCAAGGAAGATATTCTTGCAGGGCCTTATCAAGCTGCAACATACCGATCCGGACGCCTACCGCGCCCGCCCGCCCACAAATGGCTGACCGTACGTGTTGCCCGTACTGCTTCATTTCTTGGTAATATATGAAGCCGAGGGATTGATATGAAGCGGCAGCCATGCTGCATGGATATACAAGTACATGCCTTACCTACCGTAGTGGTTACTGGCAAGATGCCTATGGAAAACTCGTCCAAAATTGTTCTTCAAGTCATTAAGAACGAAGGCTTTTCTTTGCAGGTTTTTGACCGTTTCACTTCGTTCTTTCGCCATTTTCCCCACTATATAGCCCCCTGGTAGCATTTTAGACCGAGTATCTTATCGTGCCAGATGCCTTTAAGATGACAAAGCCAGGTAGTGAGGTGAATAAGATCGAAAAAGCTGCCTGGGTCATTCAAATGGACTCTTTAGGTGCAGCTGAATTCAGTAACAAGTGCAATTGAATAAAAGTTGGGCAGTTACGCCTGCTTCCGAGCAGAGAGAAAAGAGGTCTCGAAGAAATCAAGTGATCGTTATTTGAAAAGAGATAACGTCGTTCATTGCAGTGGGAGAGTTATTTTTGCAATGGTCCTATTTCAGCATCGCACCACTCAATGAAGCTGCCTCTTCCCTCGCCACCCGCCATATAAATCTGCTGCTGTATATCCGGCTAAGGGGTAATGTACGGCTAAGCTGGATAGAGCTAGATCCGATCCAAGATGGATTCGTGGAGTATGCACTTGGTAGCAGCGCTATATTCCACTTCCCTTCCTCCTTAAAGGTAGAACCCGCGATTATTCGCCATCCAGATAGTGGATTAGGGGGTTCCATATAGACGACAAGGGGTTGAGTAACTCGACAGTGAAGAAAAAGCACAAAAACATGCCACCTGCCCTAGATAGAACCCCATTTTGATCCCAGTTTGTACGTGCCCAATTAACTCTATCTCCCACACTACGCCCTCATACGCACAGCTGATTCACCGATAAGAACTCTACGATCGTACAAGTGACGATTTTCATGCTTTTTCGTCCTGCAATCTCGTTTTTCACTGAAAGCCGGGCATTGGAGGCGGAGTCACTGGAAAAAAGGAGGAACCACTGAACCTATATTGCGCTATAGCGCCCCTCCCTTAGAATTTTTTGCCGCGAAACCGGTACAAGGTTGTTCGTCGCGGACCACTCTAACCTCCTGACGCCATATTTTCAACTTCGATACCTGATCGCGGACCGTGCTTTCAAAGTTCAGAACAGGGTAGGAGATATAAAAAGGAGCTCTGATGAGTGGAAGTGTCACAACAAGGCTTCGGTCTACATCGCGACTCAGTTCAATCGTGAGGCTGAGGTTCACCGTGCTCCACCGCTAGCCCTCGGATTGCTGCTATGGCCAAGAAAATCACCCATTATGAATAGAATGTACCATTCGCGGCGGTCCAACGATTAACGGTGGAGCAGGCCGACCGCGAATGCATGATTCTCAAATAGTGTGTGTCTCGCGAAGTACGAAGAGAGCGTCAGAAACGCAAAAATAAAATTCAACCCGTTCAGGAATGGTATTGTGAAGAAGCCGTTCTTTCCAGAGGTTTTAGCATGGTTTCCACTACCACATTCAGGGCCAAACATGTGCTGAAAATCTCGATGGGAGGGTCCTCCCTAAACACAGGCGAGACTTCTTCTCTACGTAGCACTGGTCTGCACAAAAAGTTCTTCAAGTGCCACCAAGTCGAGCGGTGTCGAGTTTTATAATTGCTGATTGTTCTTGTTGTAGTCGCGCTATATTACCTTCTTGACGCTCTGGTGTTGTTCGCCTGGGGGAGGGTGGCATTTGAAAGATTCCTTGCGTACAACAGCGCTACACAAAGTAGAAGAGGATTTTGGCTCAAGCCTAGGAACCTTGGCAGAAAACAAAGCTCCCTCACAACCGCTGGAGCCGAGCTGTGAGCCATGAAATGGGCAGGGATTCATCGCTTGCCGCTACTCTCTTCACCCCCTCAGAAAACTTCAGTCTTACTATTGAACTAATCATAGGATGTGGTTTTTAATAAGCTTTTCGGCCCGCCCTGCCCTCCAACTTTTTTCATAACGCCTCAGTTTTCATTAATATCAAAATCTTAAATAGCTTGTGACTTTTATGGCTCATACTTATAATATGTTGCCCATTAATTAAGTTTTTATTAGGTTGGCGGGAAAGTTCTGTTACACTTTTCCGAACTCAAAATATTTGTTCATTACTTTAGGAGGGGTGACCGGTTATGTGAGCACTTATAAATCAACAAGCAATCTTTCCATTAGTACTAGCTACGCTTGACTTTCTTGCTTCTTCTTCTTCTTTCACATTACGGACAAGAATGGTATCCACTACCATCGTACCGACCCTCCAAGCGCTCGCGAACTCTTTCGTCTTACGCACCCTAGCGCCATCATGAGCACTGCCCTATGGCCAGAAACTATGGAGGCTTGCATAAAGAAGATGCCCTCAATCAGCGGACAATCTCACGACGCTGATGCTTAAAAGCGGGAGACTACAGCTTTGATGACGAAAGTGAGGTTTGAGTGCACATGTGAACTCAGCTTGGAGGAGCTGGGGCTCGTGAAACAGATGGATGAAGAAGCTGCTCCCTCGGTCAGTCCCTATACAAAGCAGCTACGCGATCTGAAGCGAGTCGTCGATCAGAGGGGAAACTTTGTCCTGCAGAGTCTGCCTTCAGCATAACAGTGCAGCACACCCTTCCAGAAGAGTTCGAGCCGAACCTCATGTAACAAGGCTGGATGGCTTTTCCTTTGCACTGATGTAGCCCAGACATTGCTCCTTCCAAATACTAGTGGCCTTCAGTACTTACCCCTTATGCGGACGAGAAAAGCTCACCCGAGCCCAGGCCAAAATTGAGATGATGTCCAACTTCCCGTTCAACCTGGATTGTGAAGCGATGGCATCCATGAAGTGCTCAAAAACTGGCAGTGACAACGCTCGTCATTATTTTTGTATCTTGTACGTCTCTCTATAAAAGGAAAGCTTAATTTGAAGAAAAAAACCTATGACAGAACTTTCCCGCCAAGCTAATACAGTCAGTTCATAAGGACAAGATGATAATGAGTATGGTCTCCTTCTTTCTCAAACGATTCCCTTCTGTGATGAGTCAGCGTAATTTTGGCGTGTCAGATTGTTGTTAATGTTGTTTGTAGATATCGAATAGTTGAGCGAGTAAATGAATAATTCAGAAGGCATGTTGAATTCAGAATGAAGACCAATCAACAGATCAGAAAGCACAAATATCAACGACACGGCATACATTAGCCAGTTGGCCAAATCTATTGGATAAATTCTATTAGGCAATCAAAAAATATTTGATATTTGTGCTTCGTGCGGTTTTGAAGGTAGCGAAATAATAACATAAAAAAACGGGTTAAACTTGGATTTATCCCGTAAAATAATTACCCTCAGCAAGTAATACACTTTCCCATTTAGACACAAGAAGCATATTTTTGTAAAAATCTTGCTTCTGGGAATCAAAGAAATGTTTTAGTTCGTTGTCCAAAGCCACTTCATTTTCAAATCGCCGATTCCTCATGTGGTTGTCCAAGGAAAACAGATGATAGTCACTTGGAGCAAGGTCTGGCGAGTACGGAGGGTGAGGTAGAATTTCCCATCCTAGTCGCGCTATTGTTTCCTGAGTGATTCTTGCAGTGCGTGGTCTAGCATTGTCCTGGTGGAAAACCACAACTTTTTTCTGTTCGTTCCTTGACATATGTCTTAACATGTATTCATACTATACCACTAGATCCAGTACTGAATATACTTCATAAAAGTAAACAGAAAAACCGCACGAACTTTTTTGGTTGCCTAATAGTTTCAATGTAAGTCACAGGCAGAAGATCAGGAGGGTGCAGTTTGCAGGGGTGGCATTTTGTACTTTCGTTGCTTCACTAGTTCCGGTTTACAGTCTCACTCTGGTGAAACCTGTGAACTCTTGTGAAGCTGGAGCAAGCTCGTCAAGCCATCATGGTAAAACCTGTCAACTCGAGAAGAGGCTGTCTAGATTGGTCGACACGTCGATGGGAAGAAGCAGCATGCCCCCTCCCCGTCGCGGACGTGAGCCGATCAGGAGTCCTGAATCCCTTCAAAGGCTCGGAAGTTTGGAACGCGTGCGCACAACATGGAGAGGCAAAGGCGAATTTTTGATCGTTGAACAATCCTTTTTTTGGATGGCAACAGGCATTCCCATTCAGAGTTAGAGGGCAAATGAATGCGATGTGGCTAAGAATGAATGAAGGTAGCCACGCCGATTAGTCTAAGTGTTATGTGGATATATTGTTCTACTCTCAGACGAGTCTGCAACCGATTTACTGTGGCGACAAATAGAAGCTTGATCGGTCCTGTGGCAGCTTGTTGAATGGATCCGGAACGGTCTGAGAAAAGCGCGCGGCACTTGCGACTAGACCCATATCGCATGTCAGGAAGATCTGCTCAGCAGTAAATTTTGGAAAGGTTATTTCTATTAATGTTCAATTCATTCGAGCGTTATTTGTTAAGCAACGTTTTTTCTCGCAGCGACTGAGCCCTATCGTTATGCCTTCCTTACTGGCCCCCTTCTAAGCAATCCAGAGAGGAGGGGAGCATCAATAAGGCAGTTGCTACGGTAGGCCCAGGACCGCCCACGAAAACGTGAACTTCGCCAAAAGCCTTTCAGGTATTGTATGGGTGA